CCTATGAAACCCTAATTCGTATGTGTTAAACCCTAAAAAACACAAAATAAAACCCTAAGCCCTAATCTCTAAAGCCTATAAAACTCTAAAAAGCATTAACATTAAAAAATCCAAAGCCCTAAACCCTTTAAACCTAGATTAAACCCTTACTATAAAACCATAAACATAAAATATTTCTAAGACCTAAACCCTAAACCCTAAATCCTAAACATAAAGCACCAAACCCTAAACTATAACAAACCGTAAAGCCTATAAACCCTTAAAGAAACTCTAAAAACAATTTAAAACGCCTTCGAAACCATAATCTCTAAACCCAGAGTCCTAAAAATCCGTAGACCATAAAACTAAAATACACAAATAAACCCTAAGCCCTTAACCCTAAACACTAAGAATGACTTCACCCTTAAAAACCTTAAAAACCCAAAAACCGCTAAACCTAAAAAACTCTAACATATAAACCCTATAAAGCCCTAAATCGTATATGCTAAACCCTAAAAATACACATAAAAAAATTCTAAGCCCTAAACTCTAAAACCTATAAAACCCTATAAATTATTAAACTAAAAATCCAATACCATAAACCCTAAAAACCTTGATAAAACCCTTAACTCAAACCCATAACCTAAAAAAAAAGCCCTAAAGAAAACCCCTAAAAACCCTTAACCTTAGGAAACCATAAATCCTATAAAGTTAGAAACCATAAATCCTATAAACCCTAAAAACCCTAAATACCAATTTAAAATCCCTACAAAACACAAAGCTCTAAACTCTAAATTCTAAAAATCTATAAACCGTAAACCATAGCTACACAACAAAACCCTAAGCCCAAATCCCCAATTATAAAAAACCCTTAGAAACATTTAACCCTAAAAACCTCAAGAACCCCTAAATCTAAAAAACTCTAAGCTCTAAACCCTATAAAGCCGTAAATCGTTATTCTAAACCCTAAAACACAAAAAAAACCTTAGCCCTAAACCCTAAGCCTATAAGATCCTAAAAAACATTAACCTACCCAAGCCCTAAACCGTAAAAAACCTAGATAATAACCTTATCCTAAAACCCTACTACCACTAATCCTAAACCCTATACCCTAACCTAAAACCCTAAATCCTAAACTTTAAGAAACCCCAAATCCTATAAAACCTAAAGAAACCCTAAAACCCATTTAAAACCCCTACAAAACCCTAATCTCTAAACCCTAAATCCTAAAAATCCAAATTATAGCCTCCTGATTTCATGAATTTTTCCTCTCTCTAAAAATTTTCTCTCTCTAGAATTTCTTAAGAAGTTAGCTTCCTCGGCTAATTTCACAACGTTTCAGCATCCATAGAATGGAAGGAGTTCTGGCAGATGATCATTTTAGGCCACCCGATCCGATCTACTGAGATGCACAAGCCACCTATATCGTCAAATCTTCAAGAATCGTCCTCAGAATCAACCTACAACTCATCGCAGGTGAGAGAAGAGGCGATCCATACTGCAGCGGAAAGGGAGTTGGATGGAACTCGTTTTAATAATCCCAAGGAAGATTCTAGTCAAATTAGCGGAAAAGGGACTGGGGCAAAAGAATCCCACTCTCAAGATGGTTCATAATAGTAAAAATCCATGATTTAACCGTCCCAATTGAGAGAAATCCACAGGCGACGAAGGTGAGTGAATCGTCCCAACACACCACCAAAAATCGAAGCACTACGAAAGAAATTTGCGATGAATCTGATCTTGGGAGAGGTAATATTGGTCGTGTGGTCATAACAATGAAGCTTCAAGTACATTTCATGGTGGAATTGCCGGTTTAGGCGATCCTGGCGGAATTTGGCAAAAAATCTCAATACCAGATGAGCCGCGTGTGTCATCAGTGCCTTACATCCAAATTAGGGAAGGAAAGTAACATGTTCAAGATTTGGGGCAATCTAACACTTCTCATATAGATGAGCAATTCATCAAGAAACAGGGTAAGGACACAGGTATAATTCATAATGTAATTCTCGTCTAACTGTGTTTCCTGCAAATCAAGCCCATCTGAATTCTGGTACTGAACATTTTAGAAAGGAAAATGACCAACAGAAATTTTGGGTTGCTAAAGATCAAGGGAATACTAATACGATTAAGTCTACCGCTAGAATTGATCAACAACAGGTTTATCAGGATAATTTTCCTAGAATTCTAGTAATTTTGACAAACATGTTCCTAAAAATAATAATACTAATGTTCGAAATGATCGTCCTAATCCTCCCAATCCCCCCAAAACTGATCTTCTTGTTTCTCCGGCTCCTTATACAGTAGTGCAAACTTATGCTGATCGTCTTAGATATAGTCAGTCCAAATGTGATATTCCCATTACTTTGACTGCTCCTGAAATCACCACCAAACACGGCCTGCCTATTTTTTTGTATGTGAAAGAAGAGGGATGAGAGATTTTGCAGCAGCCTGCAAATATACTCTCATTGGGAAATTTAGTTACACCATGCCTAAATTGGAACTTATTAGAAATAACTTCATATTGCAAACTCAATTATCGGGTGGTGTTAAAATTGCTCATTTTAATTCTAGACATGTGTAAATTGATCTTGATAATGAGCTTGATTACAATATGGTTTGGACCAAGCTGGACAGGTGATGCGAATTCAAGTGTGGACTCCTAATTTTAAACCTGCTTAAGAAACTCCTATAGTCCCTATTTGGATCTCTCTGCCTGAGCTACCTTGGCATTGCTATAATAAAGAGTTTGTTTCTGGCTTACTCTCTCTCCCCTATTGGCAAGGTTTTATACTTAGATTCTGCTTCTATTAAAAAGACTAGGGGTAGTCATGGTAGGGTTAAGGTTCAAGTTGATCTTACTCATAAGAGATCCCCTTAAATATGGATGGGTTATATAAGGGAGGATATCACTGATGGTAGATGGCAGAAAATAGATTATGACAATATTCCTGATTATTGTTTCTATTGTAAGAATCAAGGTCATTTAGAAAATGAGTGTACCATAAGACAAAGAGATGAAGATAGAAAGAAAAAGGATATGGAGGCTGTGAGGAATAAGAATAACAAAGAGATGGAACATAATACACAAACTAAGGATCAAAAAGAAGGTGATCAGAAGGAAGTACCAATCAACAATATAACCAACAAAGAGATCAGGAACAAATTCAGTATCAGCAAGAGGAGCATTGGCAAAACACAAAAAAAGAGGAACAATAATCAACCTTTGGCAACTCAAGGCAATGTTAGACAAACAGAATAGACCACCAAACATGCAGGTATAACTACTATTCCTACACAAAATACATATATTAATCTTCATGTGCAGGAGTCATCACCTAGTCTAGAGGTTTTGGACAAATTCAAAGGCAACATAAGTGATAGCAGACTTCATATAGCAGCAACAAAGCAGCAGGGTCAACATGAGTATACCAGGAAAATAGAAATGCTGGAAAAGACAAAACTAATAAGTAATTACAGGTGGATATAATTTCTAACTAGGTAACAAGATCAACAAAGCAAGGAAGTTTATACAGGGCAAGCTGGTACATGTATGACTCATGCTCCCATCCCCTAATCCCATTGATAATGTTGTTAATGTTATTGTTAGGGAGTTGTTGGAGGTTTGGATGGGAGGGACAGGAGACAGATACTGACCTGCAGAGGGGGGAACTGACTCATGGTAGACATGAGGAAGTGGAATTTGACCATAGAGGAGACTTTAGAGCCCCTGCTACCCCCTTTCAAGAATCAACAGACACTTGCCACTCCACAGGTCACAGATACAGGGCAACAACAGGGCAGATTTAATAACAAATCAGGGGACAGATTGAGTAAAAAGAAAAGAGAGGCTATAAAAAAGAGATTGCAACAGAATATTGGTAAAGATACAGCTGGGATAGATACAGGTCAACAGACTGAAAGCTATGCTGATGCCAGGTTACTGAGGGTAACATGGCTAGGTGCCTCCTGATGATTATGGGGCACTCAATTCTGAGGATGATCTGGATCCTGATAATCAATCTTTGGAGGACTCTGATGAAGAAACACCAGATACCCAGCCATATACTGGTCAAGTATTTTGTTCCTCCTTTAAGGATAAAGTTACTGATGTTCAGAGAATGACAGAACAACAGGATTTATCCCCTAGAGGAAGGAAACAAACTAGGCACAACCCTCAACAAAATATTACTAGCAAATCTGACACTTCTAGCAGGCCCATGACTAGGTCCAAATCAAAAGGTTATTAATAAGTAAAGCTATTTACTGGAATGCTAGAAGTATCAATACCAAAGGATCCTTGGAAAGGCTTCAAGCACTCAAGAATATGCATCATTTATCTATTATTGCTATCCTGGAGCCATTTGCAGATAACTCTCAGCTTAATAAGGTAAGGGGTCAACTACAGATGGATCATGCAGTCAGTCTAAGTCTAATGAAGTGACTGGTCAGATTTTGGAAAAACATGATCAACCTATCACAGTAACTTTTCATCACATAGATAATTCTGAGAAATTAATGATGTCCTTTATCTATGCTAAATGCAAGGAATATATGAGGAGAGCTTTGTGGGAAATGATCAATTTTTATGCTAATATGGGTTTACCCTGGTGTACAATTGGTGATTTCAATGTTATCATCTCTGTTGAGGAGAAACTTGGGGGAATACCTTACAATATGAATATGAGCTTTGAATTTATTGGATTTATAGAGGCATGTGGATTGACTGATCTAGGATACACAGGGTTATCATTCACATGGTGCAATCAAATGGATGCAGAAGCTAGAGTTTGGAAGAGATTAGATAGGGCTATTGTTAATGATAAATAGTTAGAGGTTATGCCACAAACTACCATTGAAAATTTATCTTCTGTTCGTTCTGATCATAGTCCTATGTTGATGGAAATGAATAGGGTTACCGAGAGTCATATCAAATATTTCAAGTTCCTACATTTTTGGGTTGACATTGTCATTTCTTGAAAACAGTCCAACAGTGCTAGGAAAAGGGAGTTACTGGCAATCCGATGTGGAGATTACATCACAAAATAAAAAGAGTCACATCAACACTTAGCAACTGGTCTAAAAGAGAGTATGGTGATATCTTTACTACGGTTAAGGAATTTGAGGACACTATCAGGAAATCTGAAGAAGAACTTATGACAGATAACAATGAAGCTGTTAGGCAGAAATTACATCAGATGACTGGCACCTACATTAGGTATTTGAAAATGGAAGAAGCTATTCTTAAACAAAAGACAAGATTACAATGGTTTAAGGATGGTGATGCCAACACTAAATACTTTCATGCTTTTATGAGAGGTAGAAGAAGGAGGTTATTTTTACATAAAATCTGTACTGAAAATGGGGTATGGATACATGGGGAGGAACAAATAGCACAGGCATCATGTGATTATTATCCACAAATGTTCACTGGTCAGTATGAGAGAATAGATGAAAGTATTCTTCAGCTTATTCCATCAGTAGTCACTCATGAACATAATAAGAGGATGCAAGTAATGCCTAATATAGAGGAACTTAGACAAGTTGTGTTTGCTATGAACCCAAGTTCAGCAGCAGGTCCAGATGGTATAGGAGGCAAATTTTATCAAGTTTGTTGGAATATCATTAAAGAAGATATACTGGCAGCTATTCAATCTTTTTTTTGTGGTAACATTATGCCTAAGTTCATGTCCCATGCATGTTTGGTTTTGATTCCAACAACTGAACAACCTACTAAATTCACTGACCTTAGACCTATCATCCTTCGTAACTTTACCAATAAGATCATTTCTAAATTTTTGAGCATGAGATTGGCTACTATTTTGCCCCTATTATTATCAGATAATCAGTCTGGCTTTGTAAGAGGGAGAAGTATTACAGAAAGTATCATGCTTGCACCAGAAATTACTCATGGTATAAAAAAAACCCAATACATGAAATAATGTGGTTATCAAACTTGATATGACCAAGGCATATGACAGGGTGTCTTGGTCATTCACATGTTTGGTTTTAAGGAAGTTTGGATTTGGGGAGATTTTTATTGATTTAGTTTGGAGATTAATGAGTAACAATTGGTATTCTATTATCATTAATGGTCATAGGCATGGATTCTTTCACTCCACTAGAGGACTTAAGCAAGGAAACCCTTTATCCCCGGCCCTATTTATTTTAGGAGCAAAGGTATTGACTAGGTTGCTTAATTCTCTACATCAGAATCCAAATTATAAAGGCTTTTATTTGGAGCCTAAAGGACCTCAGATCAATCATTTGAGTTTTGCAGATGATGTTATTGTTTTTGCTTCCACTGACAGACATTCCCTTAAGCTCATTATGGACAATTTAGGGGAGTATGAACATACTCTGGTTAGCTTATTAACAAAGCAAAGAGTCACTTTATGGTTCCAGACAATACATCACAGGACATCATCATACCATTCAAGATGTTACTAATTTTTCCCAGAAGAGTAGTCCTATTACTTATTTAGGATGTCCTTTTTATATTGGTAGACAAAGGATCATTTATTATTCACCTTTAGTGGAGAAGGTCTCTAAAAAAGTGTGTGGTTGGTAGGCAAGGGTACTTAGTTTTGGGGGCAGAATTACTTTGATCAAACATGCATTGCAATCTATACCTATACATACTATGGCTGCAATTTCCCCTCCCAGCACTACTATTAAATACATTGAAGCCATTATTACAGACTTCTTCTGGGGAAGAGATTTGGATAAAAGAAAGTATCATTGGGCATCTCTAGACACCATGAGCCTACCTTGTACAAAAGGAGGTATAGGGCTGATACGCTCAAATTAGACCTCCCTAAAGAAGCATAAGCGATCGTTATCAAGTAAAGAACCCAACTTGTAGGTTGGGGTCGATCCCACAAGGAAAATGGTTGAGACTTTACTTTAACCAACAATTATATTCAATTAGTCAAATTACTTCCAGAAACAGGTAATTAAAGGGGGGGGTTCTGTTTGTGTGAAACAAATAGTAAGAATTTAATAAGTAATCAGTAATCAAAACTCAATTTTGGTTGTTATCAAGATGAGAGAAATAACTAGGGTATACGTGTTCTCCACAAGCTCATAATGCTGTAATCCTAGTAATAGCTATCCTTTCCTAGTGTACTACATGCAAAGAAATAAGTTAGGTATCTCTAAATTCTTGGTCAGACATCTAGAGAATTTTACCCCGCACCTTGGTCCGGCTACGTGTGTATAATTTATTAACCCTTACCTCTACCTCATATTAGACATCATAATCGATGTTTGGCTTAGCTATTACTTCGCACCAATCGACACTAGCCTATTAGATAGTATCACACTAAATCTATGTTGATAATTCTTTTCTTGTTGATTATCTCCTAGGTCCGGCAAGTAGCAACAAAGCGAGTTCTAACGCGTGCACTCGTTAAAAAGACTTCTAACCGAAAGAATTATCAATGCATGCAAAACACTATTCAAGAATTGCTTATTTACTATTCATACATTGTTAATCGCTCATGGTTCCCACAACCCTATTTGTGGATTTAGTTACCCATATTAGCAAGAAAACGATTCATAGTTATAAATTAAGAAATCATGAACTTACGTAAAGAGAATAATAAACCCAGAAATTCAACTTGAATTGCAAAGCCAAAATCTTCAAATCGAACATAGGAAATCAATAATTGTTAGGTTTTCAAATTAATCTCCCAAGTCACAAAGTAAAACTAGAATAACAATGTCTAACCCCTAAAAACGAGGTTTACATGCCCTATTTATAGAAAACAAATCCTAAATTAAAAGGGAAACAAATTAAGGAAATTTTGTTCAGGCATACGTCTTCATTCCACGAGACTGACTTACGGACCGTCGATGGATCTACGGGTCCGTAAGTCCCTTCCGTCAGCCAGGACTTAGAAAATATTTCAGCTTCCAAAAATCAGCTTCTCTGAAGCAAACGACGGACTTGCAGTACGGATCGTAAATCGATCTACGGTCCGTCAATCCCCTCCGTAGCTCCACACTTAGAATCTTCAAAAATCAGGTACTGGAACCCTCACAGTCTCAATCTACGAATCAATCAGTACGGTCCGTAGATTGATCTACGGACCGTCAATGGCCACCCTGATTCCACACTTGGTCAGATTTCCCTGATTCGTCTTCCATACCTTGCCTGCTGATCTACGATCATCACCTACGGACCATCAATGGACCTACGGTCCGTCGATCACCTCCGTGAATGCCCTTTTTCTGCATTTCTTTCAGCTATCTCTATACTTCCGCACCTGAACATTTTTCCTGCAAAATTCGATAAAAACACATAAAAACCAATACAAAAAGTCCCTAGACACACACAACTTGTATGTGAAATGTATTAGAAATACCGTAAACTCACCGTATATCAACACCCTCAACTTAAATTCGTTGTTTGTACTCAAGGGACGCACTACGACTCTAAACGACACTTGTATAGAAGCAAGCATTTCAGGCTCAAGCAATCACATGGCTCTCTACCCCCTCACTTTTCAGGTGCAACTTCGTTCTCTTAGACTCGACAAGCTAATCCATGCAGATCAGACCATGACACAAATCGACCAAATGACACACAACACTGTAAAAACCTAGAGAAAAACCTTAACCTAAAACCCTAAACCTAAAAAAACACTAATCCCTAAACCTTAACCTAAAACCCTAAATCCTAAACCTACAACCCTAAATCCTAAACTTGAAGAAACCCTAAAACCAATAAACCCTAAAGAAACCCTAAAACCCATTTAAAACACCTACAAAACCCTAACCTCTAAAGCCTAAATCCTAAAAATCCATAAACCCTAAAACTAAAATACACAAATAAACCCTAAGCCTTAAACCCTAAACCCTAAGAAACACTTAACCTTTAAAAGCCCAAAAACCGCTAAACCTAAAAAACTTTAAGCTCTTAACCTTATGAAATCCTAATTCGTATATGTAAACACTAAAAAACGCAAAATAAAACACTAAGCCCTATACTCTAAAACCTATAAAACCCTAAAAATCATTAACCTTAAAAACCCAAAGCCCTAAACGGTTAAAACCTAGATAAAACCCTTACTGTAAAACCCTAAACATAAAATATTTCTAAGACCTAAACCCTAAACCCTAAAACCTAAACATAAAGCACCCAACCCTAAACTATAACAAACCATAAAGCCTATAAACCTTTAAAGAAACTCAAAAATCAATTTAAAATGCCTACAAAATCGTAATCTCTAAACCTGAATTACTATAAATCCATAGACCATAAAACTAAAATACACAAATAAACCCTAAGCCCTACACCCTAAACACTAAGAAACACTTAACCCTTAAAAACCTTAAACACCCAAAAACGACTAAACCTAAAAAACTTTAATATATAAACCCAATAAAGCCCTGAATCGTATATGCTAAACCCTAAAAATACACATAAAAAAAATTATGAGCCCCAAACTCTAAAACTAATAAAACCCTAAAATGCATTAAACTAAAAATCCAAAGCCCTAAACCCTAAAAACCTTGATAAAATCCTTAACGCAAAACCCAAAACCTAAAAAAACCCTCCAAAAACCCTAAATCCTAAACCTAAAGCCCTAAGAAACCCTAATCCCTGAACCTTACGAAACCCTAAATCCTAAAAACCGTCAAATCAACACTAAAACCACTAAATACTATTTAAAACCCCTACAAAACCCAAAACTATAAACTCTAAATTCTAAAAATCTGTAAACCGTAAACCATAGCAACACAACAAAACCCTAAACTCTAAAAAAACCAAAGAAACACTTAACCCTAAAAAACTCAAGAACCCTTAAATCTAAAAAATCTAAGCTCTGAACCATATAAAGCCCTAAATCGTATATGTTAAACCCTAAACCTATAAAATCCTAAAAAACATTAACCTACCCAAGGCCCTAAACCGTAAAAACCTTGATAAAAGCCTTAACCTAAAACCCTAAACCTAAAAATCACTAATCCCTAAACTCTATACCCTAACCTAAAACCCTAAATACTAAACCTATAACCCTAAATCCTAAACTTTAAGAAACCCTAAATTCTATAAATCATAAAGAAACCCTAAAACCCATTCAAAATCCCTACAAAACCCTAATCTCTAAATCCTAAATCCTAAAAACAGTAAACCCTAAAACTAAAATACACAAATAAACGCTAAACCCTAAGAAACAGTTAACCTTTAAAAACCCTTAAAAACCCAAAAACAGCTAAACTTAAAAAACTTTAAGCTCTTAACCCTGTGAAACCCTAATTCGTAAATGTTAAATCCTAAAAAACACAAATTAAAACCCTAAGTCCTAAACACTAAGAAACACTTAACCCTTAAAAACCTTAAAAAACCCAAAAACCACTAAACCTAAAATACTCTAATATATAAACCCTATAAAGCCCAAAATCATATGTGCTAAACCCTAAAAATACACATAAAAAAAATTCTAATCCCTAAACACTAAAACATATAAAACACTAAAAACCATAAAACAAAAACTCCAAAGCCCTAAACCCTAAAAACCTTGATAAAACCCTTAACCCAAAACCCATAACCTTTTAGAAAAAACCTCCGAAAACCCTAAATCCTAAACACAAAGCCCTAAGAAACCCTAAACCCATAACCTTAAGAAACCCTAAATCCTATAAACCCTAAAATCAACCCTAAAAACATTAAATACCATTTAAAACCCCTACAAAACCCAAAGCTCTAAACTGTAAATTCTAAAAATCTTTAAACCTTAAACCATAGCTACACAACAAAACCCTAAGCCCAAAACCCTAAGCCCAAAACCCTAAACTCTTAAAAGCCCTAAGAAACGGTTAACCCTACAAAACTCAAAAACTCCTCAATCTAAAAAACTCTAAGCTCTAAACCTTATAAAGTCCCAAATTGTATATGTTAAACC